ATTAAGTTTTAACTTTCCCAGATTAACTAGCGTTCGTAAAAAAATTTTAAGAGGTTCTCAAAAGATTTTAATTTCATTCAGATTTCTTTGTTCTTTGAAATCGATCTCACTTAGGGACAATGTTACAACAAATAATACGAATAGTAAAATGATTGAACATACAGATGAAAATATGATTATGTACCTAATAAATTTATTTACAGAAAGAACACCTGCCCGGAATGAAAGGGTACTAGTATTAAAAGTTAAGATTGATTGACTGAATGAAAAAATTGTTTTGTTTATCCATCGCAACAAGCATGCACCATGGGAACGCAAATGCAGAGGGTCCAAAGTAGGATGTCGTGCCAATAATAGATGAAGCCGCGAGGTCGCGACTTGCCTCCCCTCATCATTATCTAGTTTATACAATAGTCTTCTGACATGTCGAGATAACAGCTCTCGGTTGACGTCAAATGGTTATTAGGAGCACAACGCAACGTTAGTTTTACAAATGGTGGCAATAATTGGACTATTTACGTTACGTTTGTTACATAGCGCAAGGCTTTAGCTACTTGAGTACCGACTATTTAATAAAGTCTAATTTTATGCACATAAACAATCTAAACGACAACTGTATTATGTACAACCTTGGTATTACTCGTGTGCAATTGATTTATTAAAATAAATTATATTTCTCGTAACAAATGAAATTATTTTTTCGGACTTGTACAGCGCCCGAAATGTTGGTTTGTTTGATAAAAGAAATACCTATACGAGATTTAGATCCGAAATAATATTGAATTTTATTTCACAAGTGGAACAATCGTGTAAACCTAAGAACTCCATGTTTTTCTGAGTTTTCTGTTGTTTTATAATTCCATGAACACATCTCAAACAAAAAGCGCGAATGTATCAAAATTTGTACAAGCGTGGTAAAATGTAAAAGAAGAAATAGGAAGAATTTGGTACATAGCACTGTTTCAGATCCACATTATACTGTCTGATGAGAATAAAAATTAAATTCAATTAACGTCAATTCCCGACTCCGATGGTGTTATATATTATGTACCTACCAACTAAGTTGACGTTGTCAACACTGGCTAGTGTTTCTCCATAAAATTCCACTTCTACGTTACCTATTCTCTCACTAAGTAGAAAATATGTATATGTATTAACGAAATAAAAATTATGTATTATAACACAAAGTACGGACTTCTCCAGGTGATCGTATTGCTCTGGACTCAATAAAAATTCGGTAATTATTCAATTGCAAATCGACTTATGATTTAGGTAATAACTAGTGCTCGGAATAGGTAGACTATATTTACCTAAACTTCGAGGAACAGAAACGGAAATTGGAGACTTCCTTACAATTACATTTATTTGTTCCAGATTTTTTCGGGATTCGGGACATCACTTAGAGTAAATTAAAAATTAACGTTATTCGGGATGGCCAGGTATTTACCTAAACTTTGCGACGAGTTGTTGCAACCATTTTTCGAAATATTTAGGATAATTCCGACAAAAAGAATCCTTACTTAATGCATGCAATTAGAGTTACCAAAAGTTGTTGTTTATGGTGTTAGTTACAGTCCTGCGAGGTTATTAGCGTTTTAAAAATAACCCAGTATAGAAAACTGGCAAGATTTAATATTGAAAGTAAATAAGAATAGTGTATTGCAATATTTGTTTGTTTTATTCACGTGACCTGATTTACATGCCACTTAGGTATTTATCAGTCTACTTGTTCCGACTACAGATAATAACAATTAAATTGTATATTTCCTATTTACCAACATCTACAAATTTGAGACAAAAAAAAAACACTACCTACTACATTTGCTATAAAATTAAATTTTTCTGTTCCTTGTATAACATTCCCCACTTTGTCCCTATCTAGGAGTTCCTGGGAGACTACGGGTGCAGCAGGCGTCCGGGCCAAGCCCTTACGGGCTTCTCTCTAGTGGACGCGGACTTGGGTATGCTCAGCTGCAGGGATGAACACGGTCGCCTGCCCCCCTGTAGCATGTGGCTGGAGCGTTCGTCCCGCATGCAGCTAGCGCGTCTTAGTAGCAGTCTAGACTTTGGCCAAAGGCGAAGAGACGCGTGGGGCACGTAAATTGCCCTATAAGTCGGGCGCTATGTCCGGACATTATCGCAGGACACTGCACTTCGGCACTAGCCCGGAGAGCTAGTAAAGGATGAGCTAGACATCCTACGGTCCCCCAGCCGCGTAGGAATTTGGAAACTGGAGAGATGTCGTTTTTCGGCGTCGGGAAGTGAGCGTGCCTTACAGTTCCGCCACCATTGAGGTGATTTGGTAGCCGACTAAGAGTCGTATTCTAGAACTCTATTCAATGCTCAAGTCATGATTGCCCTGGCAACACAAGCACTGGAAATACGACCCTAATGGCAGGGACTTGAGTATGATTTCGAGTGCTCTAAACCATACTCAAATCCTGGCTTGAGCATTAAGTAGAGTTCTAGAATACGACCCTTAGATTCGACGGCTCAGCTGTGGCAACCATTAGATGCGCAGAGCGCAACGAAAAGAGAGCGTGCCTACAGCCCCGGTACCTATCTAGAAAATAGGGAGAGTGCTGCACGTGCACCTGGGGCAGCTCTCCCAAGGCACTAACCTTTTGAGAGCCGGATGAAGTCCGTGCAAACTCTCTATTTTTTTAATGGTAATAAAGAAACACACAATTGTTGTCAAATTTTGTGCACCACCACAAAAAAACGTGCTGACCACTGAATAGGTACCTACATAAAATTTAGGCTTAACACTCATGTCAACTTTTGTCACTTACAATGTGACGTACACTTGACTATATATTTCCTTAGAGGATGGAAAAGAAATAGTTCCCATAATTATACAGATATTATGTAAGGAACTTTTAGGTTTAAAATGGTGCGTAAAGCGGTGGTGGCACGTAAAGTGTTAAGGTAGTGGAAACAATCATGGACGGTTTAAGGATTTATTTTTTGTTTTATTTTAATTTTGCATGACTTACCCTATGGGACTCGAGGAAAGGGTTTTAAAAGGAAATTGATAAGGATTTAATAGAAAATTGATTTAAAAGTCTTCAAAAATGAATAAAAGTGCTTTAATCAGATCAATTAATAAAGAAAACATGGTTATTCGAAAAAAAGTAGACCCTGTTTGAGTATCCTTATATGGACAGCCCAATTTCCAATTATGGAAACCCCATCATGGACGATTTCCAATCACGGACACCCCGTCATGGACAGTTTCCAATTATGGACACCTAGACATGAACGCTCAACTATTTAGCTAAATTAATAATCATAAAATCTGACTTTATAAAGTTCGTAAACACAAGTTAAGCTCTTAAATGATAAAATCCGATTATGGACAAAAATGTCCATAATTGGGTAAACAGCTAAATGAGATCCAGTAAACACTTCAAATTTTCGAATAGACGTCATGTTGTTCATTTACGGTTGTATTTTGTTTAGATGCATATAAGAACACCAAAACACAAAATAACTACAGAAGTCACCACAATCTTAAATACTACATTCAAATATGATTACCTATAACTAACGTACCTTAGACGCGGTCCCTAAAAGAATTCAGTTTTTTTTTATTTCCTATCTTGCGACTTAAGACTACTTCCCTTTTTTTTCCATCCTCTAAGTCTTGCGTTAATGGCGGATACAGATGGCCGACGGACGTCTTTCATTTCGATCAAAAGTTACAAAAAAAAATTGAAAATGAGAAAACAAATTAGCCTTTCCTTATTTTTGGCGGTATAGTTCAAAAATGTTCATGATAGGTGCACTGTCCATCAACGGTTCCACTACCATACGTACAGACAACAAAAAAATTCAATTTACCTTTTTGCCACAAGATTATGGTAAGCCTATATTAAAGTTCGAATAAATTAGCGGGTATTTTGGGCATATAACAAGTGGTAACGTGAAAACCTTGGACCCAACTGTCTGAAAGGCTTTTCGTAGTAAAATCGGTTGAATCACCTGGTTCCCTTAGCCTAATCCCCCAAGGGATCTTTGTGAACTCAGCAGTTCATTAGAACCCCTTAAGTTGCAATAGTATATCGGTATAGGTATATCGTAAATATACTTCTCATAGAACAAAGCATGTAAAAATGAATAAAAAAAAAGATTTCACTTGAAGGGTTTTATTTTAAAAAAATGCAGTCTATTGTCGATGTAGCACAGTTTATCAAGAAAGATACATACAGAAACTATATCTTTTAATTTCCACTGAAATAATACCTGTTGTAAGAGTATGTAGCATGCTAAACATTATATAAGTTAGCTTTAACTTTGTAGAACTATAGTACTATCAGCCCCGTAGCATGGCTACGCATGATAGTCGCGACGCGCCAGATAAAATTGGAATAAGCTATTGGTTGTCTTAATCAGATCTAATTTAGATAGCCAATAACGCGCGCTTATTTCAATTTTAGTAGCCATGCTAGGGGGGCAGGGATCACTATAGCTCTTTATAGCTATTTAACCATTATAGCTCTCAGCACAATACAAAGTACGATACGATGAAAACAAAATGCATCTACGTGGAGATAATATATAATTTACAACAGGATACCAATCAAAACTTCGGTAAAGGAAAATATCTTGTTAAATTCTATCGCATCATAAATATTGTGTTCAATTTTGCACGCACCTATTATGGTTAACATTTTCGATCCATGAGTACAATGTTATTGTATATGTACAATTTCTCCTTACAGAGTGTTCTGACAGATTGTCATATGTGGTTTGATGCAGTAAAATACAATTAAACTTATAACAGCAATGTTCAGAATTCGCCAGAGCATGCAGTGAGCACAATTTCATTAACTTATATAAATCTAATACAATCTTACGTTATGTTATGGTATTAAATGCATAAATTGAAATCAATGATCAAAAAAAAATTTTTTTTTTTAATCTGTCAAAATACCAAAAATTTTAAACTTTGATGAAATAAGTGACTAAAAGTTTATTACAATAATCCTAGCAGAATAACATTATATTTGAGCAACTCTATTTATCTACATTTTATGCAATTTTCAATTCAAAATATTATAAACTAAACTGTTAAGTCTGATGCTATAACGTTTATCATTTTGTGTTATAAAGTAAGTACTACAAAAGTTACATTATAAGTTGATGGATAATGCAAAACTTGTCACTATAAATCTTTTTTCATTGTAAAAGCATTGATGTTGATGGAAGGTAATGATGTTTTTGTAAATTCAATGAAGGTTGAGAAACTTTTTATGATAACTTTGCCATACTGTGAAATCAGTATAAACTTGCAAATGTAAAATACAAGCCATACAAATTCTTCAAAAAAGTAATTTCATTACATTTTATTGATACTGGATTTCACTGCACTTGAACTTATTATAATAACTAACAATTGTAAAAGAACTATAGATTGATTAAACGATGAGAGTTATTAAGTTGAAATCAGTCTAGATTTAAGCAGTTCGGAGTATGATGTGAACCCCGGAGTCAGTGTCAACAATTTGACTGAGCTGACCAACCTTCAGGGCGAAAGCAGCATCTTCAAATGGCTTCTGCATCTGGCCCCTCTTGAATATGCCAAGGTCGCCATCGCGTTTAGCAGACGAGCAGTCAGAGTATTCTTTAGCCAGTTCTTCAAATGTTGCCTCCTTGTTTGCTATCTTTTCACGATAATCTATAAAACACATAATTAAGCTTAAAATAGACTTTCACATACATTTTATAAAGATAAATGTTATAAAGGGTTATTTTAATAACCGCTTCTTAAACTTGCTTTTGCAAAGTTGAAACATCAAATTAGGCGTTGGACTTTTGACCATTCTTATCGTGTACGGCGTATAGTTGAATTTAACTCATAAGTGCCAAGTTTGACACACTCTTGTCGTTGTACATGTTTTCTGAACATTCCCATGTTTCTTATTACCACAGTAATCCACGAACTGCATATGCAAGGTTCTTAGAAAATAATTTTTTCAAATGTTTAAAGAAGAAGAAAAAAGTAGCTAGTTTTTTTACTACTATCACCACAAATAGGAAGTGGTACATTACCAGAGACAAAACTAAATCTTGTTTACGCCAAATTTGACAGACCGTATTTGGATTTGGTTTACTGGTCTATGGATTGAATTAAAATTTAGAGACAACTCACTTGCAAACAGTTATTATACATATCGAAGACTTTTTCATTATGTTATTTCACTCATATATACCAATGATAAAATATTTTTGCTATCTGCACCGGCACTGTAATAATAATAATAATAACAACGCACACACTCAATATAGCCCCGCACTAGGGAAACCCTGTGTCGCGGGTCTCATGGACACACACATTGACATCCGCAAATTACACCCAAACTCCCGAGAGAAATAAATATAGGCCATAGAAATATTTCTCCCGGCCCGTGAATCGAACCTAGGACCTGCCTGCCTGGAGCAGTATGGTGACCGTTCAGCCAAGGAGGCAGTTGTATGTGTAAAGAATCTTTTACTAGTAACAAAAGAACATAATTATCACTTGAAATAAGAAATATTATGATGAACAATGTGTCATGCATATTGGATCCCATAAACTGGTGAAAATAAATAATCCACAAGAGCAAAATATCATTTGAACTTATTAATCATAATTAAATTATCAACTCGAACGAGTTTTCTCGATTGCTATTACAGAATTTAGATCCAAAAAATTACTTAATTTCCAATATCCCCTTATTATGAACATTGCTAACCAGTGAGATTTGAAGAAGAGTTTAAGGCTATATCATAGCATAGGAAGAGCATCGCACTCTAACTACCGCTCTAATAAGTAATAGTCCATATATATTTACAATAATAATATAATAAAACACTTTTTCAATTTAAGTATCATGTACAGCCCTTTATGCAGTATACATGAAAGGGTGGAAACTGCCACACTTGTCGTACAACAATGCTCCAGCGTACCCAACTATAAGGTAAAGTAACTGCCTCCGTAGCCGAACGGTTACCATGACGGATTGCCACGCAGAGGCCCTAGGTTCGACTCCCGGGACGGGAGAAAAATTTGAATTGCTTACTTATTTCTCTCGTGAGTTTGGGTGTAGTTTATGGTTGTCTATGTCTGTCCATGTCATCCGCGAGACAGGGTCTCCCTAGCGCGGGGCTATGTTGAGTGTGTGCGTTATTATTATTATATTACGAGGACACTATTTAATAGGTAAGCAAATTACAGTTTAAATCGTCATACTGATTAAACTCTACTGCTCATTCGTAAGGCAGATTCCCCTGAGAAGAATGAGCAAAAAACTCTAGGGTTACTCTTTGTAAATATACATTTGAATACATTTATTATTTACAATATTTGTTGTATTTACAATGTTTGAACACGTTAGAACGAGAATAACTGCAAGCAAAACGGGATATTACTACGGAATTTTGTCATCAGGTGTGCTGTCTGACAATTTCGACAGTGAATACTATGAAAAAAGCAATATACCTTTAAGAAGCTCAATAGCCTCTTCCTTGGTGCGGGTAATGTTTTCTTCACGCCAAGAAGAAGGTCGGCGGCTTCCTGCATGCTTCACAAGTAGGTGGCTGCATCTAACAGACTTAGGAGAGTTAGAGTCTTCGTCGTCCTCTTCAGCCGGGGTCTCTGGTTTCTCCCACTGTGACTTCTTAGTCTTAGTGTTGAGATAGTATATCATGCCTGTAAATAATGAAAAATTGTTTGAGTGATAGAACTAACGACTTTTGTGTGTGACAAAACATAACCTGCATGTATGTTTATTTGTTATATTCATTAACGACATTAATACTTGTTTTATCAATACCAAATTTTTGTTATGTGAACTAAAGATTTACAGATCCATTATGACGTTAAATGATTGTAAGATGTTCCAGGAAGATATTATTCGGTTGGATTTGTACAGTAAAAAGAATAAACTGCAAGTATACCAAAATGTAATGTAATTACTTCCACCAATATAAAACTAACAAGATATACTCTCTGTGATCAAGTTTTAAGTTATTATAGTAAACTCTCTGCATGATCTTGTACTCATTCTTGACAGTAAAATACACCTTGATTTTCACATAGAATCAATTAGTAGCAAAGCTTTTCGTATGTATAAATTTGTTACTAGAGCTGAGTCTGATTTCAGTCAATCCTCTACATTTATCTATTTATGTAAATGCCTGATCCGATCACAACTTCAATATGCTTTCTCTATCTGGGATCCATTTTATAAGAAATATAAAGATGACATTGAACGACAGCAGCGCAAATAATCTTCGTGCCATTAATTTTGAACTGTATAGGAGATGTAATAAATCTCATCACAAACTGTTGAAGTTCTTTCATATTCAGGATTTGCAGTCAAGGCAAACTCTCCTTCAAGTGACCTTACATGGAATGTGTCACAATGTGATTGACTGCAGTGGAACTAACAAACGCACTGTCTCCGTGGCCGAATGGTTACCATGCCGGACTGCCACGCAGAGGTCCTAGGTTCGATTCCCGGGCCGGGAGAAATATTTGTATGGTCTACATTTATTTCTCTCATGAGTTTGGGTGTAATTTGTGTTTGTCTATGTATGTGTCCATGGCACCCGCGACACAGGGTTTCCCTAGTGCGGGGCTATGTTGAGTGTGTGCAAAAAAAAAAAAAACTGTGCTTCTCGGTGCCAAGAAATACGGATATGCGCAGCTCTCGTCGTCGTTATGGACTGTTTGCTCTTACGTCCAAAAGGATAAATTCTGGTATGTGCGCTCCTCTAAAGGCGATTATTTCAAAATTATAATGAGCTATTGTCGGAAGTAGACATTTTATCTGTATAAATAGGAATTTAAGAGGGTGGTTACTGAAACATTGGGTACGACACTGTAGTGGATTGTGAAACTGTTTTTTGTAACTGTACTTAGTAATATTATGAAGTTTGTTTGTTTCTTAAATTTATTTTCTTTGCCAGTATTGTACTTTAAAAAAAATTCAATAGTGATTATGCTTCATTAAAATTTTTATACTTTTGTAGTAATCTTTGGATGATTGTACAATTAGCTATACCGATTACTACTGATATTCTTATTCTGTATAACTAACCATGTGCAACTGTTGTTCATTCCTCAATAAATAAATAAATGTATGCATGATTATAAAACAGATGTAGTTAAGCAAAAAGGATCCAATCCACAAAATTATCAAAAAATGAGTTACGTGTGTGTATCAAACAGTTCCTAAACCGTCTCTTAGATCATCAAAAACAATCCAACATACAAATGAAAATAAATATCTCTGGAGTTACATAACATTATAAGTTTTCAAAATAAAACAAGAGTGAGAAACACTATTAAACTGTAAACTGCCATATCTAGAAAGTGACAAGACGTGGATTGGATCCTTTTTGTTTAAGTACGTCCAAATCATCTTCCCTCTGCAAAATGTACATAAAATTTTGTTAATAATAGTAAATAAATCATTTATTTGGCATCCAAGGCCCACTTACATTACTTAAATACAAAGACAAACCACAAAAACATAAAAACATCCAAATATCGCTCAAGGCGCCGACTACCCCATCACCTCGTCAGAATCATCGGCGCATAGAGCTTAGCCACAAACGTTTACAGGATGCTGTTAGGAATAGAACGCAGTCTTGAGAGTAATGACGCCGTCTTTTTCAGATCACAGCAAAAAAGTCATCTAGATGTGCTACAATGTTGCGGTAGTCCAAACAGCATCCTGAACCCGATATTATATAGAAGGCGCAGGGCGCCAAGTGACCTCTACGTATAGTTAACCCACAGACCATCCTTGTACACAGATTGACAATATGCCTAGAATAACGTTATTTTGGCTTCCTCACTATAATGGGCGAATTAATGTGCCAACATCTTACATCTGGCAGCCAACGCCCTATATTACCGATCAATATCAGTTTGGTCTTTAAGATGCTCTGCCAAGTAATGTCCTAGGTATTTAAATTTGCAAGCCCTCATTAGGGCCTTATTAAGGTTAATTCTGGATTCATAAGACAGAACTCTGCTGGGGATCTCAAAGACCATAAACACACTCTTGACACAATTCTACACAAGGCCATGAGTCCACAAAAGTGAAGCAGCTCCGCAATTGAGCCCGCCGTTGTACCCAGCAGCACCACATAGTCGGCATAACTGGTGTTAATTACTGGCTTACTACTGAGTCCAACAATCAGCTTATTTATATACAGGTTGAAGAGCTTCGGCGACATCAAACCCCCCTCTGCCGCACCCCACTCCAACCTGCATACATCTGAGAGACCTCACATTACTTAGCTGGTTTGTGTACCAGCACTTTATCAGATTCCCAGGGAATATTATAAGACACCAGGTTAAAAGCTTCAGAGAGATCAAGAAAACAGGTGCAAATCCGTCTTTCTGTGTAGTATTGGACAGTTGTAACAGGACAGACACAGACCTGCTACCTATATGTGTAATATCAATCACTAGATTATTATTATATCCATATGGATGGAACGGGCAAAGAATCAATTGCCCGGATTTATTATAAGGCGGTAACCTACTCTCATCATGGGTATGCACAGGTACCCTCAACCATAGTATAAATCAAGATTATTTGCTTATCATTGTCCATTTAGCACTAATGTCGTATAATTTTCTTTGAAACTGAAAGAATACTACTTCTTTCATACGATAAACAATAAAAAAAGGGAGGCGTCAACGCGACACTTTTGGCATAACAAAATGAGGTACTTACCGGTGCTTCGGCTTTTGCGAGCTTCCCATCCTTCCGGCAGACTATCTTCTTGACTCCCGGACATGATGCTTTACTAAGTTTCAAGTAACAGCGAGTCAAGATAGGTACAAGGATTCCTAGTGGCTAGTGTTACAGCGTCTATCCTGAAAACAGTGATAATTGTATTAGAATTTTATGGAGATGAGTTCAAACACTGTATATGAATATTTACGGTTAAACAGCATGATTGGACATAATAAATGACTAGTTCGTAATATATTAATATCTTATTAATTAAAATTTAACTATATTCTAGGTTTAACCTACCGACACCGCTGCACTCATCCAAAGACAATATTAAGAACTTATTTTTTTTACTTAATTCGTTGCCTCCTCACGGGTTGCGTTTGTACCAACAACAATATTTTTATTTTTTTGCGACCGCAAGTCAATCGTAGAGTAGAATGCACAATTTCTTGCTTTTCTTGGATCAATTCGATTAAAAAATCGAATTGATCCACAGATCGGTCGGACCGTATAATATTATGATCTTCATTGACCTTCAAAATTAATTTAGATAAAAAGATTATAATTTTGACATCCGTTTTGGCTTCAGTCCTTAGAGAATGGAAAAAAATAGTTTCCATAGTCTAAGCATCAGTCGGACACCTAAAGTTTTCCCCATCCTTTATGACTTATAAAGGATGGAAAAAAGTCTAAGGTCGGATACGGATACGACTTTCATATAAAGTGATATATACTAGCCAGTGAGAAAAGCCGGTAAAAGGTACAGAAGTAGCGACTATCGCCAAATATTTTTTTGTCGTATCCATAAATTCAAAGTAAATTAAGTAAACAAGCCGGTAAACTATTATTCATTCTTGTATGTGTTTTCTCTAAGTCTTAAATCTTAAATAACATAAATAATAAGTTCACTACCCGCGGCTACAATCATTTTGTCAGTGCATGGGAGCGGTACCCCTAGAAAATCAAACTTTGAATGAACCACGAAAGAAAACGAGCCAACGTAAGCGCTAGTAAAGCGGTTTCATCCTTTACAAGCACGTAAATATAAAGTTTCTGTTACCAGCCAAAAAAGCAACCGTCCGGTCATGAAACAAGGTATTGCAAAGGTGATATAAAATGCCACTATTGTGGAAAGTTCGGCCACTTCGCGAATGAGTGCAGATTCAATTTAAACAAGTTTGCAATATATAATAGAGGCGAACGACACAGAAGCACATTTAACTGTCATGCAGCGAATACATACGTCAACGGTTCACAACCTAGTTGCGTAGTTTATGGACTCTGAGGCATCGGAACATAAATGTGTAAAGACAATGACATGTTTATCGACCTATTCTCAAATAAGCAAATAAGTAAACAACATAGAGATATTTTCAAACGTAGTAAAAATCGTGCAACTCTCCGTGTAAGTTGGTACAAGCCGACCTCTGCGGTCCTATGGAAGTTTCGTCTATTGGAGGCTCTAAATATTTTCTTCTGTTCAAAGAAGTATAATGAAGAATCTGTGGGGAAATCCAGAGTTTATGGATAACTCACAGAGGTCTTGGACACTGAGATTAGAAACACTAAAATACACTCGCGAGCAACCAAACCGACTCAGACCCTACACCTGCATGTAAAGTAGTTTTTATGAAAAACTACCCAGTTCATTAATAAAAATGTCATATTTTCTGATAGCCTGAAACTTTAGCTTTAAGATGATATCATTAGCATAAAAATCGATTGCGTGGTTTTTGAAATAATGGTAATAGAGTTAACAATTAGGGAAAATAGGAATTTAGAAAAATAATTTATGGAGATTGTTATTTAAATTAAAACAAAAAAATAAAATAATAAATAAATAAATTTATTTAATTAATATTTGGTGTTACCCCCTCTAGCCCTAGTAATAGCTTGTAGTCGATTTTTCATTGACCTGATCAACTTTTTAATAACTTCTTGAGGAATTCCGTCCCATTCCTCTAACAACGCCGTCTTGAGCTCATTGATATTTGAAGGTGGCTGATTTCTGGCTCGGACCCTTCGTTTGAGCTCGACCCATAAATGTTCGATGGGATTCATGTCTGGACTAAGCGCTGGCCAGTCCATGGTCTGTATACGGACTTCTTCCAGAAACCGCTTAGTTATACGCGAAGTGTGACACCGGGCACTATCGTGCATCAATAAGAAGTTATCGCCGACAAACCCCGCGTACGGAACAACATGTTCTAGGAGAATATCGGTAATATACCGATCGGCTGTCAATCCTCCTCCTCGGCCTCCCCCAGGCACGAAAACGAGTTCGGTTTTCCCGTCTAAAGAAATTCCAGCCCACATCATACAAGAGCCGCCGCCATATGCAACAGTTTCAGCGAAACAGCACTGCGAAAATCGTTCACCTGGGCGCCTATACACCCGACCTCTCCTATCACTGCCATGCAGACACATTCTGCACTCGTCAGTAAACAAGACAGCCCGCCATTGCACGTCGTTCCAATTGAGGTGCTCTCTAGCAAATTGCAGGCGCGCTTGTCGATGGCTTGGCGTCAATTTCGGACCAGTTGCAGGACGTTTTGGTGTAAGGTTGGCTTCCCTCAGGCGTCTTCGAACTGTCCACTCGCTTACAGCCATTCCTCGAACACGTCTTAGCTCTTGCTGTACGTCGACACCAGTCAGGTGGCGATTTCGTAGAGCTGTAGAGACTATGAACCGATCGTCGATTTGAGTTGTGCACCTGTGACGGCTGGTTCTCGGCCTACGGTCGAATACACCAGTCTCTAGAAATCTTCTGTATACCCTTGATACAGCAGATTGGCTTAGGTGCAGTGGAGCAGCGACAGATCGCTGACTAAGTCCCTGTTGCAAAAGAGCAACAACTTGAGCGGCTTCTTCCGGTGTTGTATCCATGGTTTTGTCAAAATAGTGATGGCAATTCACGGAGATGCGTTCAGGTCAACTTCTGGAAAACGACTGTAGGGTAAGCCGCGTGCGGGACGTTTTATAGGGTTAGTTGGTCGCCCAACTCGTGCTGGGTACCGCGAGTAAATATTCCTGTACTGCATATTTTATTTTATTTTTTAAAAACTACTGAATCGATATTGATGCTAATGGTACTTTTTTAAAGCTGAAGTTTCAAGCATTTTAAACATATAACGTTTTTATAATTTGATTGTAAACTTTTTGATAAAACCTACTCTGAATGCGCGCTTAGACATTGAGTCGGTTTGGTTGCTCGCGAGTGTAGATTGTAGAAAATTTAATGTAAAGCACATTTAACGAGAACTGCAGTCAAAAGTATTGTGTCACGAAAAACAACGTATAAGCAATGTATAAGCATTAAAAGATTTAAATTTAAATTACAATAGGAACGCACATACTAAAAAGGTTTGCTCTATTAAAACATTTAAACTCCTTCAACACTCCCTGCTTAAATGAGGTAGTAGAGCCAGTCCAACTTTTCCTTAAACCTGCATTCCTTTCAAATACTTTTCATGCTTTTCTCTACTCAGTTTTTTCGTTAACACATCTGCCGGCATCTCATATGTTGACACATACTTCAAACGTACGTTAGGTACCCATTCGCACCATTTCCCGAATATAATGATGCCTCACATCAATGTGTTTTGTTTTCTGATGATGCATGGGATTTCCAGCAATTTGAATGGCAGACTGACTATCATTGAGTAGTTCCACAACTTCATTAATCCCAGTGAGCTCGGCTAGAAGTGCAGTCAAAAATACTGCCTCCCTGCATCCTTCCGAAAAAGCCACATACTCGGCTTCAGCACTGAAGAGTGCTACTGTTGTTTGCTTGCGACTTTCCTATGCTATAGCACATCTACCACTACTACATCTACCAGTGTGAGATTTCCACACACATCGCCTGCACGATCTGCATCCGCGTAGCCAACAGCCTGTCTTCTCGTTTTCTTGAATACCAGTTTAAGTTCTTTGGTTCCATTTAAATACTGAAGTACACGCTTTGCAGCTGTCCAATGTGCTTGATCGTAACAACTGTTAAACTGGCTTAAATAGCTGACTGCTCACGCAATGCCCGACCTCGAGCAGACTCCTGAATTACCTAAATTCAGTGAACCAATCAATTCTCCGTAAGTCAAGTACACTTGGTAAAACGTACTCCTCATCTTCTGGTTTTACGAGCTTCAACTCAGTTTCAACAGGAGTCTTTAAACTCTTGCAGTCACTCATCTCAAATTTCTTAAGTATTTTCTCCAGATACTCCGATTGGTTGAGCTGTATGGAGTTCCCCTGCTGTTTGATCTTCATTCTTAGAAAAATATCTACTTGGCCTAAGTCTCTGCTTTCGAATTTAGTTTGAAGCTCCTTCTTTACTGATATCCTTTATTTTTGATCATACCAGAAAATTAATATATCGTCCACATAAATTGCAACAAATATGATACTGTTTTATTTCTTCCTTTTATAAACACAGGGTTCACTTTCGGATCGCTTGAAACCCGTATCTAACAAAACTTTGTGTATGCGTTTTTCATACCATTCTCTGAGAGTCTGCTTTAATCCGCAAAGAGCCTTCTTCAATAGACAGACATGTCCTTCTTTACGAAATTTTTTGGCTGCTTCATATAAACCTTCTAAGTCTCCGTTCAAGAACGCAGTAACGATATCCATCTGATCCACTTTCAAGTCATTCTCCACAACTAAGGCTAATAGTAGTCTCAGAGTACTGTGACGTACGCAGAATTTTTATTTAGTTTAATTACTTTATTTGGATAAATCCTCTGGCAACAAGTCTTGCTTTGTACCGTATCTTCCATTATTGCGCAAAAAAGTATTTACGCGTTCATTGTCGTATTCTTGCCATAATTGCCTTTAACTTTTTACCAGTCTGACTTTCAACAATCGTTTTAAACTCTACCAGCTTAGAATAGATCTCACTTTTGTTCCGCAAAAAATAAAAAACCTTTTCTTGAATTATCGTCCAAAAACGTCAGGAAATACCTACACCATGCAAATGAAGCAGTCTCTACTCGTGTAGGGCCACAAATGTCGCTATGGACGAATTCAAGAATTTCAGCAGCACGTGTACTTTCTTGCTTCGGAAAAGGTAATGTAGTTTGCTTACCTTTCAAGCACGACTCATATTGTACTGAATTTGAATCCTTGAAACTTATATGTCTCGCCAGTTTGTCTCGTAGTAATTTCATATTGCCAAGTCCTAAATATCCAATTCTGCGGTGCCATAGTTTAATCTCATTAGTAGATGTTTTCAAAGCTGAAAACAAGTCAGGATTAGAATTAGGTTTCACCACATAGATCCCTCTCTGTTCCTTGCATATCAGCTCAATATTACCACTCACTTGACATTGACTAGCTTTATATAATTCACAACCTCTCTTAGAAAATACTACCATAAAGTTTCGACTCACTAATGTACTTACACTCAACAGAAGTAGCTGGCTTCGGCACACAGACAGTTCCCTTCACATTCACGTTCAACTCATCCGAACAAATATCGCGTCGACCTTCACCATCCACTCTGCTCCCATTAGCACAGGATATTTAAACTGGCTCCTCCAACTCCACATTGTTATTTAGCCAATCTCTTCTGTTAGTCATATGAAATGTCGCTCCAGAATCAATATCCACTCTTGCGAATCATTCCTTCTGGCATGAAGTGCCGTATGTGTGGTGTGCGCTTGACAGTTATGCTTTTTCGGGCAAAAACGAGTTTTATATTCTTCTCCGCAAATTGATGAATTTTCTTATTAGCTGTCTTCAGTCTGAATTTTTGAGCTTTTCCTTTGCTTCGTGGCTGTTTCTTTTCTTTGTAGCACCTAAAGCATTCTGCGGCTCTGTGTCTGCAGCAATTTTGTTTTAACGAAATCGGTTTTCTATCGCCATCCTCATTGGCTCATAATGATCTCCTAGCCCTTGTAGCATAAGCGCAGCCAACATCTCATCGTTTACTTCTTTGCCCATATCAGCTAGCTGGTTAGCCAGCGACAGGATTTCGGTAACGTAGACTCATGGGCTGTTATACATGCTCAGCTTCTGACTAACAAGGCGTCCTAGTAGTCGACATCTGTTATTTACGCCTTAGTCTTCGAAGGCAGCCTTGAACGCATTCCAACTTTCTTTAGCTGTATTTGACCAGACAGTGTGATTTCACCATTAGGAGCATCTTAGCACGTATCTTCCTGTATCTTAAAAGTTTCTTCCAGTATCTAAAGAGTTGTTGGTATTTCCTCAATATAATCTCAAAGATCTTCCATGATTAAGTAAAGTTCAACTTGTACTTTCCACGTCGCATAGTTAGACACGCCGTCAAGTTTTTTGAAACTTTGCTGTAGTCCTCTCGCAACCTGGGACTGTCTAATATTGTCTCCATCTCTGACAAGATTCATCTCGACTATTTTCTAGAAATCTTTAGTCCAACCACGCTGTGCTACCATATGGGGAAATCCAGAGCTTATGGATACCTCACAGAGATCTAGGACATTCAGATTAGAAACACTAAAATAAATCGGAGTTTTAATGTAAAACACATTTATCGAGAACTGCAGTCAAAAGTATTGTGCCATAGAAAACTATGATATAAAAGCATAAAAAGATATATAGATTTAAATTATAAAAGGAATGCACATACTAAAAAGGTCTGTTCTATTAAAAATATTTAAACTCCTTCAACAGAATCTGTAGAAACAATTAATTGAGATCGAGCAAAGTCTTAGAGGATGGAAAAAAGTCTTAGAGGATGGAAAAAATTAGTTTCCATAGTCTAAGAGCAAAGTCAACAAAGCGAACAAAGGAGATAGATCGAGGAAGTTTTGAACCGAAATCTTGATGCAATGCTGATAAGTGGATTGATGCAATGGCAAAGGAAATAGCATCCCTTGTGGAGAATTACACTTGGAATGTTGTTGAGTGTCATCCAGTTGATAACAAATGTTTTTAAAATAAAGAAATGCCAAGACGGAAATAAGCTATTTAAAGCGCGTTTAGTAGCTCTTGGTTTCAAACAAAAACATTTTGTGTCGGCTTGTTTGGTTGTTTTGTGTTTTGTATCCGACACAGAACATTTGTGGAAAGCTGGAGCCGAAAGTAAATCAAAGATTTGTATTTTTATTCAAAGTATAGTATTTCATAAAAATTATTCCGATTCTTTTGTTGATGGCTAGATTCAGATTGGGCAGTGACCTACTAGACCGTAAGTCTTAAACTGGTTATGTAAATAAAGTTTTTGGATGTACTGTAAGCCGGCTATCTAAAAAGAAACAATGTGTAGCTTTATCGTCTCAGTTAAGCTTGTACTGAAGCTGTATGATCATGTAAAGTATTAGAAGATACATTCTTTTAAATGATAATGATAAACAGCCTAGAACAATTTTGTACGAGGATAATCAGGGTGCAATAAAAATAACAGAGAGGTTAGACTCAAATTATATCCGAGAACAAGTTAAAAGAACTATTGTTTTGAAGTACATTGATATCAAGGAACAGTTAGTCGATATCTTTACAAAACCTCTTGACAAAACGCTATTTGAAGAGTTTTGAATAATGTGTTGTGTGTGGTTGTGCTTTGTTTAGTTTTTTGTTTTTAAAAGAGTTTTGTTTTTATGTTGAAGTTCATTAACGCCTTTGTGTATAAAAGTAAGAGATACGTTTGTTTTTATTTAGTCAACAGTGGGATTTCATTTATTCATTAAGTCTTCATATTAAGAGGGGGTGTTGGATGTAATGAAACCTCATTTAGTTGTAAGTTAGGTAAAAAAAAACTCTATGACTTCTATCAGATTCAAAATGTGGATTAGGTAGAATAAAAAATGAAATATTATGTTTCTAATTTGTGAATAAAATGTTAATAAAATTATTTCTCAGACGTGAGTGTATTCTTTTAGTTTGTAGCACTGAACATGTGGCTTGAGGCACCTCGCAAGGTATTGTCACGAAGTCGACGATCCACTTGAAGGCGAATGCTTAAATATGATTCCGTTAATTTAAGTAAATTCCCTTTTATTACAAGAGTTGGGAGCTTATTAAGAAGGATAATGTGAAAAGCGTTCTCAAAATCCGTGTAGATCACATCAACCTGTTCGCCATGATCCATATTCTTTAGAACATAATAAGTAAACAATGAAAATGTAGTATGTCAAATAGTGGTTAGAGCGTGAGGTTAGAGTCATGGGTTCGATTCCCATGGTTGACTGCTTCCATGGTGCAGTGTTTAGATGTTAGTCTCTCGTTTAGGAAGTCGTGGGTTTGATTCCCTCTCATAGCGAGGGAAGCCGTTTAACGTGCCTTAACGAAGTTCACCCGAAATGCACTGTTGCTGTTGCACTCATTTGAATTTTGAATGACGACTGTATAGCAACATATGCTTATTTTTGTTTACAGAGAAATTGTGTTCAGCGGAACGTAGAAGTTGAAGGTCGTAAACCCGTGGGAAGTATTTATTTTAACGATGACAGCGTTTAATTTGGAATATTTTAGTTAGTTTTTTATTTTTGTTTTATTATTATTATTATTTCATGATTATTTTCAATAATAGTCTATCGCATGGTTTGCGTGTAAAGATTTTCTGGTTTTCTTGTTACAATATTGACAGCTTACACTTGCATAAATTTTTATCTTAATTTAATTGGTATCACGAGAAGAGATGCCAGTGATTTCAATTTTAGCCTGTATAATCAAAGATTCAGGGTCATATTCTAGAACTCTACTCAATGCTCAAGTCAGGATTGCACTGGAAACTGGAAATACGACCCTAATGGCAGGGACTTTAGTATGGTTTCGAGTGCTTCAAACCATACTCAAATCCTGACTTGAGCATTGAGTAGAGTTCTAGAATACGACCCTCAGGGTAGTATTCCAGAACTGCACTCAATGCTCAAGTCAGGATTTGAGCAGACTTGAGTATGATTTCAAGAACTGGAAATACGACCCTAATGGCAAGGACTTGAGTATGATTTTCAGTGCTCACTGCAATCGACGACTGATTTCAAGCACTGGAAATACGACCCTAATGGCAAGGACTTGAGTATGATTTCTGGTGCTTTAAATCATACTCAAGTCCTGACTTGAGCATTGAGTAGAGTTCTGGAATACGACCCTTAATTATTAGTCCTACGAATTGCCAGCATAGATTTTTTTAAATCATAAAATATAGAAACTCCATTATTTGCTACTGCCGATATTAAATATATCTGTCTACCATAGGCTTGAATTTAATTTTATTTTGTTCTTTGCTAAAACTATTTATACAAGCGGACCGATCGGGAAAGTAGACGAATACTGAAAGGTCTATTTATTATATTACTTTTTATGTATAATAATAATATTAAGACTTTAATATTTCGACTGAAGGACGTGTATCCATGGTCATGAAATAAATTAAAAAGTACACACTGTAGTCTATGGATCGTTTCAAAGCCAGTGCTGCCAGATTTTTACATTTTTCGTAAATTTTTTAATGCTCTTTTATTCCTTTCGCCTTTGTTTGAAAGAAACTTTTGTTTGGGACACTTGAGAAACTTTTATTTTCGTAACTTTTGAGAACGACAGGAGTTTTTAAAATTTAATCATTTGTTATTGTACATCTTAAGTAGTACAAACGAACACACTCAATTTAGACAATAAAGTAACTCAGAGATGGCTCAAACATAATTTCAAAGTGTATTAACTTTTTTTAGGCTTTAGTCTTATCTTTATTTATTTATTTATTTAGTTGGAAGTTTTAGTTAAAAAAAACGAAAACGTATCTTTGTAGCTAAAATAAATTGACCTTTTTAATTAACGAAATAGTTGGTACAACTGATTATCGTCGTTGGAGTGCATTCCTAGCAATCTTGATAGATAGACCGTGTATCTTTCAACCCGGACACTGGCGGACACAGAATTGTCCTCTGTGGGACAGAAGCCAAAACATCCCAAAAAAAATTTAACGAAATGGTATTTGTAATGCTCGACACACGGGCCATGGCGAGTTGGCAACACTGGTCACGGCAGTGCATGGACTGTGTCTGCGATTGGAACATTTGGAACGGAGATTTTGTGCTGTCGTGGTTGATCGGTATTTTAAGGTCTAGTCAAGTAGTCATTGGATTTTAGGTAAATTTTCGTTATTTTGGTGAGTATTGCTATGTTGCTTTTGGAATAACATCGTTAAGTTCTGATCTGTGCTGTGTTATACAAGCGAATGCGTCTTAAACAGTAAGTACCATAGACCAAACCTTACCCCTAATTATAATTATGCACTTTGTTGCAGAGGCGTTCCTGTTACTCCGTCTATTTCGCTTTAAAATGATTGAATTTACGATAAAAACGTTAGATTCTAACAATCACAGTTTTTCTGTGGACGATGAGGTAAGTTTCTTTTATTATTGCTTGAATTTATTTACTTGTACCTATACTCGGAAATAGCACCTACTCATAGCTATTTTATAATGTTATCTATTGTTGCCTCACCCTTTTTCGCACCCCCCCGGATGCTGACTTTCGAACTATTGATTTTAACATGTTCATCGTCGTGGGTCAAAATAACCGGTACCTCTTCTACCTATTGCGGCCGTAGTCAAAAGAACCTGCCGGTCACAGACGGCAGACCTATACATAATCTTGCGAGGTCTATTCACGCGGCAAATGGCAAACGCTACATATTTAACCACATAATATGACTGTTGGCTCATTGTGTTTAGGATATTTTTTGGCATACCCACATTACTACACTTAAAAAAATAATTTCAAATTGAATTTAAAGTTCGCAAATATCTCAAAATAAGCCAAAATATGGTTAATCACTCGGCCGCAGCAAGGACGGATCTGCAACCAACCCAATACCAGTTCTAATGGACGGTCAATAAAGGGGTCCGCTGATGAATGAAGCGTCGAGTATATAACCAGAAATAGAGATGAAATAAGGGCCATCCATCCCTGGCAACTCATCAGGCAAATGGGTCATAAATCACTTTTAAATATCAACTGTTGTTTGCATTGAAATCACAAATAGCTAGCTAAAAAGAAAGCTGAAATAGTACAGCACCAATAACTGACCTGTGTGTATATCTCTGTATATTCCAAAAATATTCTGTTATTATTGTAATAAAGATAATATCTCTAACATTGGCGGGTTGTTCCATTCGGTGGTGTGGGAAAAGCAACAAAACATCTAATGACAAAACAAATGGAATCACATTGAATCGGTAATTAAATATGTAATTTTTAAATTTTCATCCATTATAGCAAAGCTCAAGTTAAACTGGCTGATTTGTAGTGAAACAATTGACAACACCTGTCAATTTTGAAATGTTCAAACTAGATACGGGCCAGAATCTCCCATAGAATACGCAAGCTTTAAGCATAAACATTTCAAAATGATAAAATTTAACTTGTGTATGTAGAAAGTGTCTACATCGAAAATGTTTAATTTTTATTGTTACATTTTTGATAGTCAAGTATAAAAATAAGATAAACATTTCATTTTATTTATTAATTATACACTCAAATGAGTTATTGGTAGCAATAAGCTTACACAAAATATTAAGCTAAAAGTAAGTTTATATCGCTATTTTGTCTTGGTTTAGTTTGATGTTGTCATTACTTAACCGTCATTCCCTCACACTCAAATGTTCTGACTACCGCTTCTTTTTTAAGAATAATTTATTTTCGGGACCACTGTATCTTCAAAAACCATTTACATAAGTACAATGAAATTTCCAAAAAATAAGACAACCTCTTACATTCCCATAGCCCAGTGCTCTAAACGCTAATATTTGCCTTCCAAACTTGATATCTGTAGGTGAGAGGTAAAGAAACATAAGTGATAATAGTAATTTTTACTAGTGTGTTTTAAAGATTATTGATTTTAAATACCAAATTAAGAGCTTCGTTGGCTCTAAATAAATAAAAACAATTAATGTTTTAAATATGTTAAACAAAAAACGATAGGACTTAAGGTCTTTCACCCATTAAATTATCCCACACACATTTTGTCAAATTTGATAGATTGTAAACTTTATTCTACATTGCGTGGCATATTCTTGCACTCTGGGTAAATTTAGTACAGTTATTGATTTTTTATAAAGGAAAATTACTTCGTTTCAATGCCTGCACTTATGAAATACCTATTAATATTGTGTTGCGCTGCTATGTGAAGTGAACTTTATTGACTGATGTTTGCATAGTTATGTATATTGTTCTAAACAACATCAATGTAAAATAGTACTCTTGTGTACACATTCTTTTGAGATACAGTATTAATAAAGTTGTATTATGAAAGCTACATCTTGATTTTAAACTTATGATTACATAATTAACAGTTATTAACTGCTTAATTATTACATCGTATGTTTGCAATCAAGATGTAGTTTTCACTGATATCGAGAGCATGATCTGTGCAGTGTGGTTTCCTGCTGTTAACCACAGTCATTGTGTGTTGTATAAATTTACTATATGTATAATTATAATATAAATCATATTGTTTTATTGTCATGGGTGGCAATAGCGCAAACTCTATTCTGAAAAGGTCTAATGCTAATGATTTTGATATATTTGATATGCAACTTAAGGCTGAGCTCACACACTAATAGTATAAACAAAGAGTCATTGACTTACAAATAAATGGACCACGGGTCTAATACAAAAACCACGAAAAAAATGTCCCAAATCAACCTATTTAAATGTAGTGACATGTAAAGGAATATGAAAAAGTTAAAATGTTGAATTTAAATTGTAATGTTATCACAGTACTGTCTAATTTTGCTTGCTTCGCTATCAGTCGAACAAACGAAGACTAAAGGTTGAAGACGCTCTGTATACGATTTTAACGCCCTATAAGTTCGGACACTTTTTAGCGCGGACCCGACGTCCATATTATTGTAAGTCAATGCAAAGAGTAGTTGTCTTCATCGTAAAATTACTGAAATAATGTTAGTGTAATTATTACTATTTCGTGGTTCTCTATTGTAATCATTTTGCAATTGACTAACAGCATTTCGTTAGTCAATTTGTGTCACTTTTATATAGACTGCAAGTTTTCAATGTGTTTTTGAGAAATTCATTTTTACGAGTAGAGAATAAATATACTTTTAAATAATTTGTTTTAGTTGCTTTTAATTATTATATCTATGTGGATATAGAAAACTTTGATTGTCAAATATATCACAGTATAATAGGTTTCCAAGGAAAAGGAGCGTATATTTTAGTTTTTGTGTATAGTAATGTATTGGGCACTATACTAAGTTTATTGTCAAGCTCAGTGCCAATCTTTATCTTGTTTCCAAATATGCAAAGCGAATCCATTAAAAACACCATAGCTTGCGTCGAATTGGTGCCTGCACATATTTTTTATTTACTTGTATATTAAATGTTGAAGTTACAACAAAATAGGCGCTTTGTTGTCGTGTTGTGGACACCAGCCCGTTGCACCAAGAACAACAAATGTGTTATTTTGTAAAATTGAGTTTACTACGCGCTATTATTGACCGCTGCTGTGTACATTCTTCTTTGGCGTATCGTTAAATACTGTTTCTTGCCATTTTAAGCAACAATTGTGTAAGCGGCAAGTTTCAAAAACTAAATTTAAGCAACGCCGTTTTATAATTAATAACAATATAATAAAATGTCATTCACATCAATTGCCTGATTTAAAAGTAGGGAATTCCATGTACTAGAAGTGCTAAAATCGACCACTACCCAGAATCGAGTGCCTGTTCTGTTAACTACTGTGCTATGGAGGACGTCACAACATGTCATGTATAGTTTGACGTGTCTCTTCTACTGTGGGATTGATTTACTATGCATCTTTCGGCAATCGCGTCAGTCCTTGAAGGCATAGGTTTTCATAAGGTCTAATGAGACCCGTGTCTAGTCTACATTTTTTACTTATATTTTTATGAGGGCTTGCATTGAGTTGGCTGTTATTATATAAAATAAGAAATAAATTTACATTGATTAGAATGACAGGTCGACAAAATTAGGCTTAGTGAAGTGCTAGCAGCGTCCTATAAATTATGTATTTTTAAATAAGACAAAACAGTAAATATTTTACATATTTGCTTTACCATTCATTAATGTATGATCATTGAAATCCACAAATGATTGATAAATGACTTTTCGGGTTAAATACTTTAAGATATTATTAATAGTTATTTTCACAACATCACACGATGAAGTTATTTATGTCCGATGGAAAAAAGTTTGTGATGGAACTCATCGAAAATATAGAGTCTAGTCACTCTCAGTCGAGAAATAGTTTGGCGGTAATTTTTAACGTTACTTGAATAATTTTTAGTTTTTGTAGATTACTTGTGTTGTTTTGAGTTAGTATGTGTTATTTTACATTTAATTGTGCATTTTATGTGAATTTTTGTCCATTGCGTACTAATGTACTATTATTTAGGCATGCTCATGAAATTAAACAGAGAATTGACAAAATTTTAATGAATTGTTGAGTTGATTTCAGTTATTACCATGATTTAATAACACCGATTAAATTATGTCATATATAGTGTTCAGTTGATATATTTTAACATCGATTCTCGTTTTCACTGATCAAATCGATCGAGCTAAGTTATGAAGTACTCATAGGATATTCTTTTCTTACACTTTTGAAAATGGGGAATTACTACTACTGTACTCAAATAGTCTTATTTGTGATACATCAAAAATAGAAACAAATTTATAATTGTATTGTTACAATATGTTTGTAGAAACTTTTTATTGAGTCTTCTTTTTCTTTCAGATCACAGTCCAACAGCTCAAAGAAAAAGTGAGGGAATCTATGGGCATTGAGATCCATTTACAAAGACTTATATTCTGTGGGAGGGTTTTGCAAGATGAAAAGAAATTGGCAGAATATGGTGAGTAAATGCTTATTTACCTATTTATTTTTATTCCCTGATGGAAATTAACACCAAGGTCCCCAATATATAGTAATAGCATTAAGTTCCCGATGTGAATTGTAGTATTCAAATAATTAAATTAAACTTCGGCTTTGCTTCCTAATTTCATGTTCGTTTTGTAAATATACGAACTTAGATGATATGTGAACTTAGAAACATGAGTTTAGTTCGCATATTTTGCTTAGTCGAAGTCAAGATTCGTTTTATAATCTCAACCTGATTTAAATTTAACTTTGTGCCGCATAATAGATATACTCCTGGACGCAAATTTCGAGCCAACTTGTGTTTATATATTTTTAAAGAGCTAGAATACAAAGACATTCAACTTCAACTTCAACTTTTGTGTCTATGGCTCCGTCGATTTGCGCGACGATTTTGCCAATGTCAGGGTTGAGAGACATGTGTAGCGGTGGTGAGATAGATTGCCGGTTATTAAAATACTTCGGCGGTTTTTATTCACAATGACGGTTATATATATATTTTAATGACATTACAAAAATATAATTTGAGAGCTCATGTTATTTTCTTTCTTTTAGAAACATTGTAGGAAGTTTGTAATCATCGAAGAAAACATAATAGAAATGATATTTAGTACATTAGTTTCATACCTGCTTAATAGTTTTTGTCACGGTCGATTTCCATGCAAAATGAATTCGACATTTTCGTCAGTGCGGTTACTTTTATGTATATATTACATTTCCAAAAAAAAACTATTAATTTTCCGATCATCGCATATACCAAAATTTAAGCCCAATTATGAGATGTTTGTAATCATTTCAAAATCTATTAAAATGGGTCAATCTTTGCTTGTGTGCGTCAATGAATACACTATAAGTGGAATAAAATGGCGTCATGGTCTGTGAACAGCTGATTTCGCTGTCACGTTTTTACGCCGTAGTTCTCAAAGTGCTCAAAAGATGGCACTCAGAATTCATAACACGAGCGAATTTGTAATAACAATACTTGAGTTTCTACACAAGTTTGGCAGAAAGTTGGAAAGGACATTGCGCTTGACAAAATTAGTAAGTACATGATTATATATTTGGGGGTGCTCATTACGAATATAGTTAATTTTAATACTTAAAATGCAAGGTGGTTCGAAATATGTGTCCAGGAGTCTTTAATGAGTGTTACGTACTGTTGAGAAGCATTTAACATTTTAAGGTAAATGTAATATTAATAAAGAAAAAAATATGATAAGAACTCCTGAGTCTGCCTCCGTGTTGTGTATAGGACAGCATTTTCCCAAAGACTATTCTTGTGAGCTCTTTCTACAATTTCATTCACAATAAGTTGTCGGTATATAGTTTAAATAGGTATAAAGTTAAACCTAAATTGACAAAGGACAAAACTCAATCTGGAGAATATGAATCCCGGAGTACATTGAACTAAGTAAATTTATTTTGGTATATCGTTTAATTTATTTTAAGACATACTGTGTATTGTTGTTTTGCGTTATTTATGTATTTTTATATACATTGCGTGTCTATGTATGGTACAGTGGATATTATAGGTGTTATTTATTGTTAAAATTGGTCAATGGTTGTTATAACGTGTCTACGGAGTGAAGGGCTACTAACTCCTTACAAAACTTAGCTTAGGAGTTAGTAGGCAATTTATTTATTGCAATTTGAATGTAGGTATCCTTAATGATTCTATGTACATCAAACATTCATGAAACTGAAGGGCGTAGCATTCTGGGGTCGAAATTTTATGAATGAATGAATGAATGAAATATTCTTTATTGCACATAAAATTACAATTAAAATACAATACAATAGCTTAAGTATAATAGTAGTAGTAAGTCAATGTGCAACAGGTGGCCTTATTGCTATGTAGCAATTTCTTCCAGGCAACCTTAGGATAGACAATTCGGATATGCAAAAGGGGTGCAACCAAAGAATATCATCATAAAGTACACTACATAATAAGTAATAATAAAAAAATGATCTTCTCGTTACATAACCCTTTAATGTAATTATATTAATCTATAAATCTTAAAGTAAAAACATTTATTTAGCAGAAATTGCTTTAAAACTTTGGTGTGTTTCCCACTATATGGAAACAAGCCCATGTAATTCCTCTCCCTAAAAAATCAAATCCTTCTTCTTTCTCCCATTACCGCCCTATCTCCATACTTCCTGTATTGTCTAAAATCCTTGAGCACTATGTCCATAATCGACTCACTAACCACCTCCTACGTTACGACATTTTCAACCATCTGCAGTCTGGTTTTCGAGCGGGCCATAGCACAGTTTCTGCTCTGGTGAAAATCACTGACGACATTCGTCTTAATATAGAAAATAAAAAAGTTACTGTCCTCACTTTATTGGATTTCAGCAGTGCTTTCAGTACTGTTGATTTTAATTTGCTTCTTGCTATGCTTAGAACTTTAAATCTACCTCCCTTAGCCGAATCCTGGTTTCGTTCGTATTTGTTTGGCCGTTCCCAACTCGTAAAGACCGGTGACATGCACTCGGACTGGTGTAGCCTTACGGCTGGCGTTCCGCAGGGTGGGGTTTTATCACCTATACTTTTTTCGGTCTTTATCGGTGGAATTACATCATCACTCACGTCTTCTTTCCATCTCTATGCCGATGACCTTCAAATCTATACTGCAGCCCGTCTTGAAGATGTAGTTACTGCTATCGGCACATTGAATTCCGACCTACAAAAGGTTTCGGTATGGGCTAAGAACTACGGACTTCTTTTAAATGCACAAAAGTCCCAAGCCATAATTATTGGCAGTCGCCATTCCATCTCCAAGTTTGAGTCTATGGTGATGCCCAATTTAGTTTTGAATGACACCATTATTCCTTTTTCCACTTCAGTTAAAAATTTGGGCATCATAATGGATCAGACACTTTCTTGGTCGGAGCATGTCGCCGATGTAAGTCGTAAAATCTTTGCATCACTTCACTCCCTCAAGCGGATGCAGTACTTTCTTCCTCTGTCTACCAAATTTATGCTAATACGCACTCTTCTTTTTCCTATTCTGGACTATGGTGACGTCTCCTATCTTGATCTTTCGGAGGACCTTCTTAGTAAATTGGAGCGGCTGCAAAATCAATGTATCAGATTTGTGTTTGGATTGAAAAAGTACGACCACATTTCCAAGTTTAGAGATGAGTTGAAGTTGTTGCCTATTCGTTTACGTAGAAATGCTCACATTTTATGCTTCCTCTATAAAATCCTGTTCCATCCCACTTCACCTAGCTATCTACGTGAGCGTTTTCAATACCGCCAGGCTATGGGTGACCGCCTGCGTTCTGGCACCAATTTGTCCCTCGTCCTTCCACAACACAGTTCCCAAAAATATTCGAACTCGTTCACGGTAAATGCTGCCCGTATGTGGAACCTTCTCCCGGTCGAGGTCAGACAGTCGCCTTCGGTTCGGGTTTTCAAGGGTGCTCTTTTGAAGTTTTGGGATTGTTCAGACTCCACATGTTAGAGCTTTTGAAATATTTATTTACATTTGATATATTTATGTATAGTTTTATTATAGAGTTTTAATGTATTAATGTATCAATATTACTTAATATACAGGGTGATTGGTAACTCGATACATTCCTTTTAAGGGGTGAAAGTAGACCTAATTTGAAGCAAATTAAGTCAAGTTATACCCTGTCCGAAAATTAGTAGTTTCGAAGATATTGAAGATTTAAAGTTTTTAAAAAAAAATCCTGATTCTCAGCTTTGTTATTTTTTTTG